GAAAGACACTGTCTCTCCCACTTCCAGCAGCTATTGATTGCCAAAAGTTCCTTAGGTTGAGTTGGGGTTTTTTACCCACTTCCCCATGTCTATGCTGAGATTATGCTGAGATTTTTTTTTTCTGGTTTAAGTTCTCATGGGACTTGTTCATGTTGTCACCATTGTTGTGAGCTCTTATGAGTAACTGACCAGCTGTCTGGAACTCTGTTTCCTTGTGGTCACCCACCACCTCTGGATCCTACAATCTTTGCCTATCTCCCTCTTTTGCAATGATCCCTGAACCTTGAGAGGCAGAAGTTTGATATAAGTGTCCTATTCAGGGATAAGCACTCTGCACATAGCTCTCCCCCATGCCCTGTGACCTGTCTAGCCTCAGGTTCCTAAGCCTAATATCAATGTCAGATATGGACTTCATCCTATGAAGTGACCTTAAATTCAATTAGAGAGTGGTTGGTTACCCCTATAATATTACCAGGCCAGTTGTTGTTCACGGGATTTATAGCTGGGTAAGGTTGATGATTACGTTTTCCTTCTGGTACCATGTATAGCACCTTCTAGCACTATGAACACTATAAGTTGAGAGTTTTTAACAAGTTCCTGCTGCTACTGCAGCCCCTGGCCCAAAGGCTGCAATTTGAGACCAGAGATACAAATAAATAAAGGATTTTTTAACCCAGGCTGAGTATGAGAATCATTCAAGTCAGGTTTCTAAGCTATTCCTGCCAGGCCCTCAGCCATGATGCTAGTATAACAGACCTGGGCAGAGCCTGGGCATGGGTAGTTTTTAAAACTCAGCCTTACCTAAGGTGTTTCTAGAGAGCAGACAGAGCTGAGAACAGCAGGGCCTAAGACTTCAGGGAAAGTCTAGGCAGCATCAGGCCTCAGGGGGCAGACCTCATCATAGACGTCCATGAATGCAGCATCTAAATGGTCATTCTAATGTCCTTTCCCCACTCAGAATCGATGCATTGATATTATGGCTGGGAGGCCTTTTAAACGCATTTCCAAGGGCTGTCAAGATAATACCCAAGAGATACCCGTCAGGTAAGGGCACTGACTGTCCAACCCGAGTTCTATTCCAAACCCACATGGTGGAAAGAGAAAACCAACTTCAACAAGTGCGTTCCTATGGCATGTGCAACCCCCACACACAAACAATAAATAAATATATATGTGTAATAATTTAAATTTAAAAATAAATCTTACACTTTTGTATCAAAGTAAAAATAAATAAAAATTCTGATGACTCACAGCGATAAACAGTAGCACTAGATTTTTTTTTTTCTTTCAACAATGCTGCCCTCTACTGTCTGTCCATATTATCACCGTGTAAAACCCACCTGAGCTGTCAGTAACATTATTCCTGTCAGGTAACTTGGGATTTTTTAATTACACTTTTCTATTTTCATTTGGGCAATATGAATCCCCAGCTGTGACCTCTCCATTCTCCCACAACTGCTTTGCTGGCTGCAGCCTCCTCCCACGGGGGTGCCTGGCTACCTCCGGCCCCCATCCTCCCGCCCCAGCTCTCCTCTTCAGAGCCAAAGCCACACACAGCAGGGGGAAGGAGTGACCTGTAACTGCAGGCCTGCCTCACCTTTGCCTCAGTTCTCACATCGCCTCTCTTCATCTGCATCACAGTTTATTGAGAAGACATCAATTGAGAACGTCTGTCTCCCACTATGAGTTCCATAAACTCAGCTCTTGGTCCCTGCTCCTGGCACCCCCACCACGGTGCTCTGGTCCCTGCTCCCCACCCCAGGTGCTCTGCCTGGACCCTAGTGTTCTTTGTCCTCCCTTCCCAGATCCCTAGTGGGCCTCACTGGTGACTTACTCATTCTAGGTCATTCCCAGTGCTCTCATCTCTCCTCTCTGAATAACCCTTAAGTTACTGCCCTATTTCTATGGGGCATTCATCTGAAAACTTGTTGAGCTTGTACAAGTTGTCTCCAAAGCCTGCCTGCCTGCCCCATTGTCCTTCCATCACTCCACCCTGACTTTGGGTCCTCACACTGACTGGCACTGCTCTTATGGTCTATGGTCACTCTCCATGTGTGCAGCCCTGTCTGCTGCCTTTTGACTTGGATGGTCACCATGTTCCACCCAGTTGACCTCCTTCTTGAATCACTTTACTGTTCTTGGCTCTAAAACGTCCCTGCCCTCTGGCTCCTGATCAGTCAACTCACTGCACAAGGCCCTCTCTGTGACCTCAGGCTGGCAATGTGAACTTCTTTTTCTCTTCGGACTTCTGCCACTATGACAGCCCAATCAATAGGCCACCCTCCTAAACAGACCAGTGTCCAGCCAAGACAGTGCTTTGTTCCACATATCCAGCAACATCAACACCACCTCCAGTTCACCCATAGTATCTCCAGTTTACTTGAATCCAAAGAAGAGCCCTTGGTTTTCCTCCCAAACCCTATGCCTCCTCTCTGTAAATAACCAAGTATCTTGGAGAAGTCTTGATTCCTCCCCGTCTTCTACGTACCACACTCAGCCTGTCTTAACTACCACCACCTTCCTCTGGGTCACCCTTGTCTCCTGCCTGCAACACTGCAGAACCTTCCTGGAGGTCTTTACTCCAAGCCTCTCCTTCCTACTGATTGTCCACAGCACAGACAGGGATGGCCTTCTGGCACATGATCTAGAATGACAAACTGTCTCCTTCCCTTACCTCAAAATGTCAACAATCCCATTGAACCTTTAATAACACAAATAGCTTTGTTTGCCTCTGCCAACTCGTCTCATATTTCTGACCTTCCTTGCTAGGCTTCTGTCACCTGGCTTCCTTCCAATCACTGGAATTCACTGAGCTCTGTCCTGCTTAGGACCTCTATACATACTGTTCCGTCTTCCTAAAATGGTCTTCCCTGTGCTTCAAATGACTGACTCCTTTTAATGCTACAAGTGGAACATTTCTGACTCTAATTCAGTAGATCTTCCCTTTCATTTCCTATCTAGACCCCCTTCTGCTTTCTTTATAGCACTTTTCGTTTTATAATTGCTTGTTTACTTCGCCATCTTTGCCACTCAACTCTGAACTCATTGAGTCTAGGAACTTCATTTTACTCATTGGTGAATCCAGAAACTGGCTTAATGGCTGGTAAATACCAAACTTTTACTGCGGGAGTCGAGTAAGTAAACGAGTGTTCGAGAACAGTCACAGCTTCCTCTCTGCCATAACTGCTCCAATCAAGGTTTCAGTAACATTACGTGTCCTGGCCACCTCACTGTTCTGTCTTCTCCCTAAATGACTGCAGAGGTCAGATGGGGGAGTCTTCCAGTTCAGTTGCTCTTTGTGGACCTCTTTAGTGCTTCCAACATGTTTGGGGCACCTTAACATCTCCAGCTCCCAAATAGCATGTGCCTAATGAATGCTGCTGATTGGATGAACTCCTAGCTCTGGATAAAAAAGGATGAGAACAAGGTGGGACCTAGTACAACGATGGAGGTATCTAATCTGGGACAGAAATACAGAAGAATGGCTCCAACCTCCAGAAAGGTTTATCACCTCCATTTGTACACTAAAAGAGGGAGAAGCCATTTCTTACAGCTTTTACCATATTTATTTAATAAAGGATAAATGAACCTTATAAGTTAGGTGCTGTGATCAGATATTGATTGGAAAGAAAAATATTTAGTTCATAGACCAAATTCTATCTCTGGGAGAGGAGACAACAGTAATGGATACATTCCCCTCTTCTAAACAGACTAACCAAGTACATGACACATGTAAACTAAACAAAGAAGCCAAGACCCTAACCCTGGCCTTCTCATCCCAAATCCTGCACCCTATCAACTTAATGTTTCCTTCTATGACATACAAATAAGAATACATCTACCCCAAGCCAAGTGCAGCAGCACATACCTACAATCCCAGCACCCAGGAGACAAAGGCAGGAGGCCAGCCTGTTCTACTAGGTGAATTCTAGACCAATCAGGTCTGCATAGTGACACTCTGTCTCAACCAAAAACAAGAAAGAGATAGAGAGGTAGGGGAGGGAAGAGGAGGGAGGGGGTAAAGAATGCGTCTACTCTAACTCATGAGCAACGTTCTGAAGAGCATTTGCTTACAGGTATTATTGGGGTATCGAGAAGCCGAAGACTACAACCCTTAAATATGTCAAATAATCTGGCATCCTGGAAGTGTATCTGACTTGTTTTGTAGAAGAAATCCAACCCTGCCTGAGGATTTTGCTGAACTGAACTTAAGGCTCTTCTTGCCTCCTAGTTCTGCATCTCATCTGGCTGGTGCCAAAAGGATTAGCTTAGCTCCACCCCATGGGGGAGAGGATTAATATTCCTGATCAGGAAATGTGATGTCTGGCTAGAAGAGGCTAGTGAGTAAACTGGGTGGGCCCACCAGCAGACCTTGGTGAAATCAATTACATGGGTGTCTCAGAACAAAGTTTGGTTCAAAGTGGTCAAGGACAGGGTGTGTCAAAGTGGGTTTTGAGCCTCTGTCCCTTCAACTGTTCATTCAGAATTTTACATGTTTATCTTCCTGCTAAACACACTGTTACTGAGTCATCTCTATTAAGCAGCTATTGATGGTGAAGACCAGCTCTGCAAATCCCACATACAGAAGAGACAGGCCATCCACCCTAAAGAGTGTATTCTACAAAGTCAAACAAATACTTTCCCTCACTTCTCACTTTGGTGAACAAGATATTCAGGTTCTACAAGAGATTAATCATGTGTTCCTTTATCAGACCAAGAACTATCAAGCAATAAAAGTAAAGGAAGAACTTATAGTGGTCATTAAACATTCGATTTTGCTTAATTTTATTGTTGTAACCTGAAAATGGAGTGTCAGTTTACCTAAAAGTACTGTCCAGTCTCCAAACCATCAATATTGAATGTACGTTGTTACCAGTATAAGAGTAATTATATTAAATAATTGCATTGAACTTCTAACCTTTGAAAAGAGGAGAGAGAAAGGCACATAACTCTGAAAAGTAGATAAGCTCACTCATGGACCACTGTTCGGGCTCCCATAGAAATTGTTCGTGCTATGACACACGTGATCAACCAAGGCATGGCCATGTACTGGGGCACCTCAAGGTGGAGCGCTATGGAGATTATGGTGAGTTCATTTCTATTTGCAAATGGCTACTGAGTTCATTATTGATTTTTAGATACTGTGTGTAAATTGAAAGATCTCTTGTAGACTTTTCTCACAATCACCATGACATTGGAATTCTAGAATCAATTCCATCATTAAAGAGATGGGTATCAGGGCTGGAGCTCGGCAGTTCAGAACACAACAGAAGAGTCCAGATCCCTAATAGGAATCATGTTTTAGCATGTTCTTTGGTGGCAAAAGGGCAGAGTGACTCTCACAGCTAATGAGATATATGACAGAGTATTCTAGCTTTCTTATAATAAGCTTATTAGTAACTATTGCAACATACTACATACAGATCACATTTTTATGTTAGTCTGAGTTTTATTTAAGGACCTAATGGTAGTCAAACTACATTTTCTTTAATTCATTTTCTATAATTCAAACTTTGACTAGTTTTCCCTGGACTTTACTAAGTCTTACACTCTCAAAGAATAAGGATTTCTCACATTTGGCATTGCGCTAAGTGAGATTTGTGGACATAACTCTACAGGTTACTTGGCTTTTTTCCTTGATTTGTATTGACTTCACTGACATGAAAATTTCCCATGTAAATGAATCACAGTGAAGCTTTACCACTCATCAGTATAAATTCAGTTGCAATCTCTTCCCTCCCTAGGAAGCCTATTCTGTCGCACGGCAATTCAATATGATCCCACCAGTCTGTGAACAAGCTGAGTACCATCTTTTCCAGAGAGAGAAGGTAGAGGTTCAACTACCAGAGCTCTACCATAAAATAGGTAATCTTCAAAATCATATCTACTGATTACTTTTAACAATATGAGAATCAGTGATTTGGGGGGAAAGTGTTGGTTGGTAAAATGCTTTCTTAAATGTTCCTAATTAATACAGGAATTACAAGAACTGCATATCTTAGAGACTGTCCATATTTAGTCTACAAGGTATCACTGATGAAAATCACAGAGTTGTAAATTGTGACCAGCATATGAACTATACTCAGCATATTCAAAAATGCATACACAATGAGGATCCAGTAGAGAAACTCATCTTTTTTGAGAGCTTGCTGTAGCTCAAACATGCATCTATGAGTAGACCTCCCAAAATGGGTAGATAGACACATTCATTTCCCAGGCTGTGCCTGACTCTGAATGAGATAGAGGGAATTCAACAATAATGAACAAGCCAGGTACAAGACATTCCTGTGGAAGTAGTGCTTGGGGATGGGAATATATATATACAAAATAAACACAAGGACTTTGGAAATTAGAAACATGAATAGGCCATATTTTCAGGCTTAAATATCAAAGCAGTTTCCAGAGACAGCCATTTTTATTTTTAAATTTTTTAATTTTATGTGTATGAGTTTTTGCCTGAATGTATGTAAGTGCACTTTTTCGTGCAATGACCAAGGAGGTTAAAGAGGACATTGGAGCCCCTAGAACTGGCATTAGGGATAGTTAGCTGCCTTGTGGATGCTGGGAACTAAGCCCAGGTCTTCTGCAAGAGCAACCAGTGCTCTTAACTGCTAAGCCATCTCTCCAGTTTCCAGAAACAACTCTTTTCCTACGATTAATAGGAAAAGCTGGATTTAAAAAAAAAAAAAAGATAAAAATTCAATGTCTGTTGTTTCTGCTACTTACCAGGCATTTACTACATTCTAGGCATTGTGCTCTTGCTATGCACCAGGCCTGTGTCAGATACTGAACAGAGAGGCCAAGCACTGAATTTCTTTGCAAGTGGAGGCTCTTAGCTCTCCATCTATGAATTACTGCTATGAAAAGATTGTGGATAGGGCATATTTTTTAGCTTGCCTACATGGCTCACTCCCAAGAACAGATAGTGCATGTTTAATTGGTTTATAAAAGAATGAAGCACAATTTGTAAGTCCTAAGCTGTAATGGAAAGATGGATGGTATTAACTCATTTATTTGGCCAGCTTTCTTCTATTAACTAACTAAGCTCTGTTTAAACACACCCTCACATTTGATTCCACTTTGCACAAGCAATTTTCTAAGGATCTTTTCTTTCCTTCCCTAGGGGTTGGTGCAATGACTTGGTCTCCACTCGCCTGTGGAATTATCTCAGGAAAATACGGAAATGGGGTGCCCGAAAGTTCCAGGGCTTCATTGAAGGTATTTCCCTCAAGTTCTAGAAGTCTTTGGGGGTGGGGGGTGGCAAGAAGGAAGAAGCCACATTAGAAGGGCTCTGCAGCAGCCCAGGCCTTCCCAACTGCAGCAGACCATGGCTTTGGCCAGCCATGGCCTCTGTCAGACCCCCTCTCAGCCTCTTCCAGGTCTCTGTGCTCCTGGCCAGGCATCATTAGTCAGCCCTTTGTAATCTGCTGCACAGAAAATTTTCCCTTTCTGGAGGCTGGAAGAAAAGTGTCCAATGACCTGGTTACTTGTAGAGCTCTAATCCCTACATTTTTACTTATTCTTATGTTAAAGAAAGCATTCCATTCTATGTCTGGAAGTGTCAAAATTCAAAATCCCTTTTCTATATAAGAGGATTTAATTTCCTTTTCTTGAGAAAACAAAATTTAATCCATAGAGGCTTAGTCCATTTGAGGCTAACAGCTGTAGTTGAGTATGGCTAGAGGTTGTCTTATATTTTCTGTGTGTTGGGGCCCAGGGTAAAGAGAGAGGGTCACGGGAGACAGATACTTAGCAGTGTCTCCAGCCTCCAGCCTCTGCTCTGCCCACTGACTCTTTGTCTGTAAGTCTATATGCATTGTACAAAGTGATGGGTTTCTCAGTGACATTTTTATTCAACTATATCATGTCCTTTGTCCATATTCTCTCATTACCCTCTCCTGTCCCCATCCTGCCTCCTAGTTCCCTTCCTCTTCCCAAATTATTCCCATTCATGCTGTGTGTGTGTGTGTGTGTCTCTGCTTGAGTCTTGTAACTTAAATTCTGCTCTGAAGCATAAAGATTTTCAAAATCATAGAAACAAAAATATCTCCATTCAGGACCTCTTGGTGACTAATTTATTGGGGAGTACTACAAATATCTTTCCTTATTCATAACAACATGTCTGCATTTTAAAAGCTTGAGAAAATGTTCAATAACATTAGAATCACAAATGACTCTGCAAGCGAAAGAGAATATAGGCATCTTTAATACAGACAAGGCAAAATCATCATAAGAGAAGGCATGTGCCTGATCCAGGCCTCCATCAGCATTAGCTAGCAGAACAGCCCAAGCCTTTGATCAGTGTAGCTGGGACTACCTACAAGAGGGGCCTTCCCTAGCCTTTTCAAAGTTCTGAGCTTTTTACTTTCCTTTCTGCCTATTAAAGTTGAGCTTTTAATTTATTTGTTCTTTAAAATAACAAGATATAAACGTCCCCTAAAGCATGCCGACATGGCAGTGCTTCCAGGCTTTGTTTTTGGTTTTGGTCTTTTTGAGACAGGATCTCCTGTAGCTCCAGGTGATTTGGAACTCAGAGATCTGCCTGCCTCTGCCTCCTAAGTGCTGGGATTAAAGGCGTGCACCACCATGCCTAGGTTTTGTTTTTGTTTGTTTTTAATTAATGTAAAGCAGTTATCTCTGAATATTTAATGAGATCTTGTTCCTGAAAATTGAAAATAACTAAAAGCATCTTAGGGAAGAATGTGTAAGAGGAGGACGGCAAGAGGGGCATAAAGGACAAGAAGAGAAGAGAGTACTAACCTATGGTTTTACTGAGCATCTACTATGTGCCAAGTGGCCAGCTATGAGTTTTCATTTATTTCCTTTTATCCTCGCAGAAAGAAATGAACACAAAAGTCAGTTGTAGCTAAGCCAAGTTGCTATGCAAGTGTTCCTCTATTTATGATGGGGCCCAGATAAACCCACTCTAAACTGAAAATGTCCTGTCAAAAAATACAGTTACTATGGCTAACCTATTGACTATTAAATAGCTTAGGCTAACCTACCTTTTAAAATTTTTTTATTTACTAATTTGTGTTGTATGAGTGTTTATATGTATGTAACTGCATTCATGTCATGCAATGCCTGCAGAGGCCAGAAGGGGGCATTGAATCCCCTGGAACTGGACTTAGAGGTGATTGTCAGCCACCATGTGGGTTCTGAGAACTGAACCTGGGTCCTCTGCAAAAGCAGCCAGTGCTCTTAACTGCTGAGCCATTTCTCCAGCCCCTGGCCTAACCTATCTTAAATTGCACACACACACACACACACACACACACACACACACAAATTAGCCTACAGTTGGGTAAAATCATCTAACACAAAGCCTTTTTATACTGAATAGTATACTCATGTAATTTATTGACTGTTGCACTAAAAGTGAAAAACAGAAGGTTGTATTAATACATTTTTGCACATAAGAAAAAAATCCAAAGTCAAAAGACTATAAGTTGGAGAGCATCTGTGTATTCTTTTATGACTTCCTGAAAAATTCAAAGCACTTTCCATAGTGCTTTGTTCTATAGTGCAGGGTGTTTGTTCTCAGATTAACCCTATAAGAGGACAGCCTTGTCCCAGATGCAGAAGTTGAGGCACCATGACATAAGCAACATCAAGGTCATAAACTCGTAATGGATGATACTGACCTGGAGAGCCCAGGAATCTTGGTTGTCAGTTCATTGTCTCCCAAAGACATCTCTGTTTGCTTTCAAACCCGGGTTTTTGAGAGAAGAAACTGTTATGCTGCGTTTAGGCTGCATGACTGTCTAACCACCATTACCACTTGAGAAAAAACTCCACAAACAGATGAAAAAGCTTCCAAATGCACTAGCAAAAGGAGAAGGGGAATCACATAGAAAATCTGAAGGTGGCCAAGGCCAAACGTCACTTGGGAACTATCTGTATGTTTGCTTTCACAGAGTCAAGTCTGTAGCCACTGGAACATCCTTAACAATAAACATTAAGAGCTCTTACAAGTGAAAGGCAGTTGTTCATAAAGTATGATGCTTCAGAGTGCTGCAGACTCTCAAGGCTCTGAATTATCAATTGAGTGTTTTCAGAGTAACATGTATGTACTTAGAAAAGCCACTTGAAAGAAGCAACTCAGGACATAGTTAAGAATGAATTATAGTGCTAAAAGTAGAAAAATTTAGAATTGGGCAAATAGGTACATTGGCAACTTTTACTTCCTCCTCCCCAAAACTGAATATGTAAATGGTTTATATTTCACAGTGGCTGTTGAATTTCTATATTTTGTGTCTGTTATATTGAAGAATCAATTGAAGAATCAATCAAATTAGAAAAAAAAAAACTCTCTGGGGCTCTTTAAAAAAGATTCAACAGAGAATTTTCTGGAAGGTTCTTCTGGCTGGACCCATCCCTTTAACAATGGAGTTCTAACTCACATCTTAAGCTCTGAGTGCACTGCTGAGCAGTACACTGCTTCTTCCAATCTGTTTAACATCTCCTAGTAGATGTCCCATGGGTACCATCACACCTAATAGAATCTACTCTCCCATACCCTCCTCCTCCTCCTGCTCCCCCCCTCCTCCTCCTCCTCCCCCTCCTCCTCCCTCGGCTTTTGATCCTGTCATAGCCAATGAACTGCCTCCAATTAGGGTCCATCCCCAACCTCCTCCTGCTCCCCAGCCTCAGGCACAGCCAAGTCCTCCCCATGCTCCCCTTGCTGTACTCTCCCTTGCCTCCCATTCCAGGGCCCAACCCATCTCTCCTCCTTTCTCCAACTCAAACTCCCTCTCCACATCACTATCTTCCCCCTCTCCAGTGCCACTCTAAGTCCATCACCCTCTCTCCTTCCACTAACTCTCCTCTAAAAAAAAAATCCAAAACCTTAAACACCTC